TTCCCGCTGGGCTGGAGCGCAGCATCTGACGAAGCGGTTACTCTTCCTGATCTTGATCTTCGCCATCAACATTGGTCCGAGTGTCTACATCTTGTTCGTCGCTACAGCTGCACAAGAAAAGATTGCCAAAATTCTGGGCATCGTCCAATTCTTGGTTGCTGTCTTCACCTTCCTCTTTTTCGCCGTTATGCCGCTGGGAGGCTTGTTCGGCAGCTACTTGACCAAGAATTCTCGGAAGTACGTGGCCAGCCAAACCTTCACTGCAAGCTACCCTCGCCTCAAGGGCAATGCTCTCGCAATGTCCTACGGCCTCTGGGCCGCTATTTTTGGCGTCAAGCTTGGCGTGTCATATGCCTATCTGGCCCTGTCGTTCAGGGATCCGATCAAGTATCTGTTCATCATGAAGCTCAAATGCCAGGGCGATTCCCTGTTCGGCACTGGCATGGCCGATGTCCTCTGCAAGCAACAGGGTATCATTCTGTTGGGCTTGATGGCATTCACTGATGTCATTTTCTTCTTCTTGGACACCTACCTGTGGTACGTGTTGATGAACACCTTGTTTTCCATTGCTCGATCGTTCTATATCGGTTCTTCGATCTGGACGCCTTGGAGGAACATTTTTTCGCGCCTACCTAAGCGCATCTACTCGAAGGTACTGGCCACCACGGACATGGAGATTAAGTACAAGCCCAAGGTTCTTATCTCCCAGGTCTGGAATGCCATCGTCATCTCCATGTACCGGGAGCACCTGCTTGCTATTGACCACGTTCAGAAGTTGCTGTACCATCAGGTTCCTTCCGAACAGGAGGGCAAGCGAACCCTTCGAGCCCCTACCTTCTTCGTCTCACAGGAGGATAAGTCTTTCAGCACTGAATTTTTCCCCGCTGACAGCGAGGCTGAACGTCGTCTGTCTTTCTTCGCGCAGTCGCTTTCCACCCCGATCCCAGAGCCTCTGCCTGTGGATAACATGCCGACATTCTCCGTTCTCATCCCCCACTACAGCGAGAAGATTTTGCTCTCACTGCGCGAGATCATTCGGGAGGATGAGCCGTACTCCCGTGTCACCCTGCTCGAATACCTCAAGCAGCTTCATCCTCACGAATGGGACTGCTTTGTCAAAGACACCAAAATCCTCGCCGATGAAACCTCTCAATTCAATGGCGAGCTTGAGAAGCCAGAGAAGGATGCCGCCAAGAGCAAGATCGACGACTTGCCCTTCTACTGCATTGGCTTCAAATCTTCTGCCCCTGAATACACACTACGCACTCGTATTTGGGCATCGCTTCGCTCCCAGACACTGTACCGCACGATCTCTGGTTTCATGAACTACAGCCGCGCCATCAAGCTTTTGTATCGTGTCGAGAACCCCGAAGTGGTGCAGATGTTTGGCGGCAACTCTGACAAGCTCGAGCGTGAGCTCGAGCGCATGGCGCGTCGCAAGTTCAAAATCATCGTCTCCATGCAGCGTTATGCAAAGTTCAAGAAGGAGGAGATGGAGAACACTGAGTTCCTGCTTCGCGCCTACCCTGACCTGCAAATAGCCTACCTTGATGAAGAATTGCCCGTTGCTGAGGGTGAGGAGCCGCGCCTTTACTCCGCCCTGATCGACGGTCATTCCGAGATCATGGAGAATGGCATGAGACGACCCAAGTTCCGCATTCAGCTTTCTGGCAACCCTGTCCTTGGAGACGGCAAATCAGACAATCAGAACCACTCCATCATCTTCTATCGCGGCGAATACATCCAGCTGATTGACGCCAATCAAGACAACTACCTTGAGGAGTGTCTCAAGATTCGCAGCGTCCTAGCCGAATTCGAGGAGATGAAGACCGATACAGCCTCTCCCTACACCCCTGGCGTCAAGAGCAAAGCCTTCTCTCCTGTTGCTATTCTCGGCGCTCGCGAGTATATTTTCTCTGAGAACATTGGCATCCTCGGTGACGTTGCCGCTGGCAAGGAGCAGACGTTCGGCACGCTATTCGCACGTACTTTGGCTGAAATTGGCGGCAAGTTACACTATGGGCACCCCGATTTCCTCAATGGTATCTTCATGACCACCCGAGGTGGAGTCTCCAAGGCTCAAAAGGGACTACATCTGAACGAGGATATCTACGCTGGTATGCAAGCTGTCATCCGTGGAGGTCGTATCAAACACTGCGAATACTACCAGTGCGGCAAGGGTCGTGATCTGGGTTTCGGGTCGATTCTGAACTTCGTCACCAAGATCGGTACCGGCATGGGAGAGCAAATGCTGTCGCGAGAGTACTATTATCTTGGTACACAACTCCCTCTTGACAGGTTCTTGTCATTCTACTACGCCCACCCTGGATTCCACATCAACAACATGTTCATCATGTTGTCCATTCAGATGTTCATGATTTGCCTGCTGAACTTGGGCGCCCTTCGCCACGAAACCATTCCCTGCAATTACAACCGAGACGTTCCTCCCACCGACGCTCTTTTTCCTACTGGCTGCGCCAACACGGACGCGATTCAGGACTGGGTCTACCGCAGTATTTTGTCGATTATTTTCGTCATTTTCTTGTCTTTCGTCCCCCTATTCGTGCAAGAGCTTACGGAACGAGGATTCTGGAGGGCTGCCAAACGCCTTTCAAAGCAAATTTGCTCGCTTTCGCCGTTCTTCGAGGTCTTCGTTTGCCAAATTTACGCCAATTCGGTCCAACAAGATCTGTCGTTTGGCGGCGCTCGGTATATCGGTACTGGTCGTGGGTTTGCCACCGCTCGCATTCCTTTTGGTGTTCTCTATTCCCGCTTCGCCGGCCCTTCCATCTACTTCGGCTCTCGACTCCTCATGATGCTACTATTCGCCACGGTCACCATCTGGCAGGCGGCTTTGACCTATTTCTGGATCACCCTGATGGCATTGGTCATCTCTCCTTTCCTATATAACCCTCACCAGTTCGCTTGGAGCGATTTCTTCATCGACTATCGTGACTTCCTCCGCTGGCTCTCGCGCGGTAATTCACGGTCTCACGCATCCTCGTGGATTGCTTTCTGCCGACTATCCAGGACACGCATTACTGGTTATAAGCGCAAGGCACTCGGTGACCCATCCGGCAAGATGTCCGCCGATGTGCCTCGCGCCGCAATCGCTAACCTCTTCTGGGGTGAAATTGGCTGGCCGTTCGTACTGGTTCTTGTGACTGTCGTTCCGTTTCTCTTCATCAACGCGCAAACTGGAGTAAACGAGGATAACAATCCCAACGCCACAATCGCACCGACGAGCTCGTTGATCAGGATCGGCGTCATCGCGCTGGCACCACTCGCCATTAATGCGGGCGCACTGCTTGTATTCTTTTGCATGGCCTGTTTCATGGGACCTCTTCTCAGCATGTGCTGCAAGAAGTTCGGCAGCGTTTTGGCCGCCATTGCTCACGCAATCGCAGTCATCATGCTTCTGGTTTTCTTCGAGGTCTTGTTCGTGCTGGAGAGCTTCAACTTTGCTAGAACTCTGTGCGGCATGATCGCTGTGGTAGCCATTCAGCGTTTCATCTTCAAGCTCATTGTCTCGTTGACATTGACGCGCGAGATCAAGACGGACCAGTCTAACATCGCATTCTGGACAGGAAAATGGTATTCCATGGGTTGGCACTCGGTTTCTCAGCCGGCCCGTGAATTCCTCTGCAAAATCACTGAGCTGAGCATGTTTGCGGCCGATTTCGTGCTCGGTCACACTCTGCTATTCTTCATGTTGCCCATGATCCTGATTCCGAAAATCGATATGCTTCATTCTATCATGCTGTTTTGGCTGCGGCCCAGGTACGTCGCCATCACTCCTTCCAACCAACACAAAACTGACATCTTATAAAGCCGCCAAATTCGCCCACCCATCTACTCGATGAAGCAATCAAAGCTCAGGCGCAAGCGTGTTTTCCGCTATGCTGTGCTCTACTTTGTCATGTTCGTCGTCTTTGTGGCTTTGATCGCTGGACCCGTTGTTGTCGGCAACCTGGACGTCCTGAACCCTGAACAGCAGTTTGGAAACCTGGTCAGTGGCATGAAACTGGTCCAGCCGAACGGGCTGGACCATGATGACACACGAAATGAGACAGAGACAGGCCCCAAGGGTGACGACTACACCGGAGTCGCCCTGACTATTTCCACTTTCTCTCTCGGCGGCAACGCTCGGGCGACAAGGGGCGCCAACGACAGGATGGTCCGTCTTCTTTAAGTCAAGTAACAAGCCTTGTGTAGTGTGTCCTCTGAGATTCGTTCTACTCATGGCACAGATTGGAGCACTTGACATATCGACGTTCGGAGGAGCAGGCAGGCGGATGCGAGCCCCTAGATGGGCGTTTTGTTTCTTTATGCAGCAACAGTCTTGTTTCACGTGGTAATGGGAACTTGGGCCTTTAGAATTGTGTATAGTATGAACTTGCTAGGTCAGATCGTCTGAAACCTCTTGTGTCCTCTGTGCTTTTTGTATCTGGAGCGCATACGTGAATGAGTGGGTCACCGCCTGCCTAAAGAGATTTAATGTATATTTCACCAGATACTAGCTCAGTACATTACCGAGGGCGGGCATATCTGTGAACATAAGGTACCTGGTAAAGTATAGGTGTCTAGATAGGCAGCTCGCTATATGCTCTAATTGAATAAGCAATACTTACTTTCTGCTATTCGGCTATCGATTATATGAAGTCTTGAGATTTGGGCAATAAAGGGATAGGCGCAGCCGTGTGGGTCCCCCATCTCTTGAACGCGTCTGCCTCGATGCTTTTCTCCGTCAAAGCCGATGTCTGCCACATCGGGTACCTTGGATAGAGATCCACTAGCGCCGCTTCCCTGTTACTGAGTATCCTTCACATGCATGGAGAATACCTCGTCTGCCGAAGCCCCCTTTAACTACTCAAAATCAGACACCCGTCTGACGACAGCCTCTCGTACGAAATATCGTGCTTCTGTCAACGTTTTCCGTCGCCAAAGGAAAGATACGTCAGCTTTACGATGGATCCCGACGAAATCCGGACCCTGGTAGCTTCGTGGTGGCGACACGCTGCCACAAGCTTTCAGAAAGTCCCAGGCTCAGCAGTCCTTGTGCGCTACGTGCAGTCTAGCTATCAAAATGATCCCATTCGGTCCGCTTTGGAATTGGTCCTCGTCATCTTCTTCATCCGTTATCTTCTGTCACCTTCCTACTCGACTCAGAAACAGAATTATGTCAAGCTGCGCGACGACGTACGACACCCCTGAGATTCTGAACTGAGTCAACTCACCTTGTTGGCTAATACGGGACTAGGAAATCGACGAGTTGGTGGAAGATTGGACACCTGAACCCCTCGTGGGTGCTCAGACTGCCTTTGAAGAAATGGAGGCTGAGAAGCTTCCCATCATCGTCGGGTAAGATTCGACAATATCAAGTATTGAGAGAAACCATCCATCTAGTAACTAACCATCGTCTAGCCCGACTGGACCTAAAACAAAGCTCGGGAACGGGCGAACCGTGACAAATCTTGCGACGTATAATTTCTACAACTTCAATGCCAACGAACAGATCAAAGAGAAGGCAATTCAAACACTGCGAACATATGGGGTAGGACCTTGCGGCCCCCCCCAATTCTACGGAACACAGGATGTGCACATGAAGACAGAGGCAGATATTGCAGCGTACCTCGGTACAGAGAGCTGTATTGTGTACGCGCAGGCCTTCTCTACAATTTCAAGCGTCATCCCAGCTTTTTGTAAGCGCGGCGACATTATCGTCGCTGATCGGGCCGTCAATTACTCTATCCGGAAAGGTCTGGAGATTTCCAGGAGCAGCATCAAATGGTACCAGCATGGCGACATGGACGACCTTGAGCGCGTGATGCAAAAGGTTGTCAAAGAACAGGCCGGCAAGAGACTTACAAGGCGTTTCATTGTCGCCGAGGGCCTCTTCGAGACCACAGGTGACAGCATTGACCTGCCGAAGCTCGTGGAACTCAAAGAAAAGTACAAGTTCCGCATCATCCTCGACGAAACATGGTCCTTTGGCACATTGGGTCGAACTGGACGAGGCTTGACGGAGGCGCAGAACGTTGATCCTACCCAGGTAGACATGATCATTGGGTCTCTGGCCGGACCTCTCTGCGCTGGCGGCGGCTTTTGCGCCGGGGCTAAAGATGTGGTTGAGCATCAGCGCATATCTGCAGCATCCTACACATTCTCGGCAGCTCTCCCCGCGATGCTGGCCGTTACAGCTAGCGAGACGGTTAGCGTGCTCCAGTCTAACCCCGACATACTGACGCAGTGTCGCGATAACATTCGGGCGATGCGGGCGCAACTCGACCCCCGCAGCGACTGGGTGACGTGCACCAGCGTTCCCGAGAATCCCATCATGCTACTGGTGCTGAAGGGTGAGGTAGTTGAAGCTCGCAATCTTTCCATGGTGGAGCAAGAACGTCTCTTGCAAGATTGTGTCGATGAGGTATAACGCTCCTGTTCGATTTCATGTCCTCGTCATTACGAGTGGAATTGCTAACGGTTCTGGACAATGCAGGCTCTAGCCAACGGGGTTCTTATCACTAGACTCAAGACGACGCCATTGCTAAATAGCATTGGACCCCGCGACGACGGGTGGCAGGTTCAGCCGGCCCTCAAGGTCTGCGTGACGTCGGGCCTGTCGAAGAAGGATATCGAGAAGGCCGGGGTTACGATCCGACATGCCATTACAAAGGTTATGACCCGGAAGGCCAGCATTCGAAGCGCGTGATCGTGCAACTCGCTGTAAAACATTCGGTCTCAGGCTGTGTGATTCCCAGCTGGCTTTGGGGGCATAGGTGTGTACAGTGGAATGCGAATCGCAGAAGAGGTAATCCTCATGGCCTGTAAAGACATGGCAGGTAAGGGCAGGTTAGCTGATTCTTCAGGATCGACAATTTAATCTTAATTCGGTATGTATTAACAGCTACCACAAATGAACTTTCAGATGCTCTTCGGTCGCGAGCTCCAGACGTGTGAAACGAAGATGTTGATCCAAGACGAACTGCCGAGCATCCCTTGCCATGGTAGACCGTCGAGAGAGAAAGGGGGGCGTAGAGGGGTAGCGAAGTCTGGCATGCACTGCATTCCAGTCGCGGCTTGTCCTGCCCCCTCCCCCTCTCCCTCATTTCTGTCCGTGCTCTCAATGTTTTGGGGGTTCTTGGCTACATTCAGCAGCTAATGCAACGCTGCTCGTGGTATGTAGTGCGTGTCGTGGCCGTACTATTTCTTCCTTGCATCCCGGCATCCGATGAGAAGCAGCATACGTTCCCTTCTTTCCTCCTGCCTCCTTCTTGCGCGATTGTCCAACCTGGGACGCTGTTGTAGTCTTCTCTCATTACTCTCTCTGCTTGTTCAGCCGGTATGTCCGTCCCAGACTTGATTCTGTGGTTGAGGAACCTACCTTGACGGAATGTGCTAACTTATCCTTCGTGGAAGTCACAGTACGGCCAAGCACCCTCACTCCTTAACCAAGCTAGAGCCTTTTGCGCTCCTTTTCCACTTCATCATGAGGGCTAGCATGCTTTCTTTTCCTGCCGCTGTGACTCTCGGCCTGCTGGCTGCTTGTCAAGCGAAGCCGACTGGTAGGAACACATCAAAACCATCTCCGTCTGTGGACTTCCCTAACCGGACTCATAGGCAACTACCGGCATCAATTGCTTCATGCTGAGCGCCGTGCGGAACAACTGCTGACAGTCGTGGACACTTCTGTGTCATCTCCGACCGTAGTCCCCAAGGTTGTGGTCTACAAAGGCAAGGACGGCTCTAGTCAGCAAACTGCCACAAGAGACGTCTTGTTTGTGCCTGCCGAGACTCAAGTCGTCACTCTTGAATCTGCGGACTCGACACCCAACGCCGCCTCGACTCTTAAAAACGATGTTCCTGCTGCCACGGGCAGTTCCGATGCCGGGTCCAGCTCGGCTGCGAGCAGTCTCCCAGGCATCGCCTACGCCCCGTACACTGCATCGGGTGGCTGTAAGACAGCCGATCAGGTCCATGATGACTTTGTTACTTTCACGGGAAAGTACTCGATGGTCCGCATTTACGGAATCGACTGTGAGCAGGTGGCCAAGGTTGTCCCGGCTGCCAAAAAAGCTGGCCTCAAGCTCTTCCTTGGCATTTTTGAGCTTGCAGGCATCGATCAGCAAGTCGCGTCCATTGTTGAAGCCGTCGGTGAAGAATGGTCGATCGTCGATACTGTCAGCGTTGGCAACGAGCTTGTGAACAAAAAGGCTGCCACTCCCTCCCAGGTGGTCTCGGCTATGAGTCGAACTCGCTCGCTCCTCAGGGATGCCGGTTATAAAGGCCCTGTCGTCACTGTGGACACCTTCATTGCTGTTCGGGACAATCCTGAGTTGTGTGACGAGTCTGATTACTGCGCTATGAATGTCCATCCATTCTTTGACGGAAACACTCCGGCTGATGAAGCAGGCTCCTTCATCACCCGCGTGGTATCTGAGGTGCAGTCGAAACTAGCCGATCCATCCACGCGCATGGTTGTCAGTGAGACTGGATGGCCGTGGCAGGGAACTGTGAACCGCGTTGCGGTTCCTGGCCGCAGCCAACAGAGCATCGCCATCGAGTCAATCAGGGCCGCCTTTTCAGACCATCCTGGCGACCTTTTCCTCTTCTCTGCATTCAACGATCCCTGGAAGCCCGTCTCCGCCGATACTTTCAACGCTGAGCAATTCTGGGGCATTGATGGCCTCGACTCGTCGTCCTAAGGTGCCCAAGGCATGCTCGGGACAGGCATTGTTACCAAGGCTCGGTTCGGTTTATAGTGATGTCGATGTCGTGGGGCTTCGGAATTGGACTACAGCAAATACGATGGACATGCCCGGCAATTAGATCTCGGCCACTTCTCAAAGCAGCAGAGCGACCAGCAATGTATCGACAGTCATTTCATCTTTAGTTCTATCCTGATACACATATAGGGTCAAGAGAACTCACTGCATAACTGACTCGATTAATCTCCATTTGCTTACTTCCGCTATAGCAATAGCTAAGGAATGATAGCTCGCGCCATCAACCCAACTTGGGACTTCTATAGGCCCCAGTGAACCCGTGTTGTCCCCCTCGAACGCACAGAGGTTTCTATGTCCACTGGTACTGTGGTGATCAATATGGTCGGGGCCGAAGGACCTCACAAGCGGCATGGACTTTATGTCTTCTGACAAGCCCCGAGAGGCTGCACCTCGCCAACCCGCGGTCAAAGACCTGGAGGGGTGGGTCTTGGAGTCTGAGGGGATGTCTACTGTGTTGGTTGCGGTCTAAAGTCCGGCGGGCGATGCCGAATGATATGGAATGATGCTGATCCGTGAAGCAAATGACCACGCACCGCAGTCTTAGATTTTACGATTCGCGTGATCCACAACATGAAGACTTCGAAGCCAGTTTGAGTTGCGCAGCTTGTGTCGTTCATATTAGCTACGATCTAGAGGCTCCTCTGGCAGCTGGGCCTCCAAAGGTCTCCAAAGCGCTGTCCCAGAACCAGAATACATCTTCGAGCTTACGCTTCTGCATTTGGTCACGGAGAGCGTCGGGAACACTTACAAAAACATCTGTCGACGAACGAGGATCTCTTGGGTCTTTCATGTCTTACTCCTTATCTTGACAGGATTCAACGGTTTCAAGGGTCCAGCAGGGACTGTTGCGACCTGAGCACTGTGTGATGCCGTCGGCATTTCAACAGCTTCCTCCAATCACGCTATTCCCATATCCAACGTGGCATTATACTTTAGCAGCATATACTTTATCAGCTTGTCATATTTACCACGACTTGTTTAAGATGTTTTGGCCAGAGCTCGTTGGTGCGAATGGTCACTCCCGACTACTGTGTTACCGCACCCATCACGTGACATGTAGGAGAGGGAAAATCTTGAATATAAACCTTCTCACCTGAAGCAGTGACTACTTCATTGATGCTGTTAGACCGCCACTCAATCAATCACCACATTCTACACCATGATTCAGGGAAAGTCGCCTTGTCGGATCCTGGTCATGGCTTCCGGCCATGGCTCGAATTTCCAAGCCCTCATTGATGCCATAACTGTTGGTGAGCTTCCAAATAGCCGCATTGTTTCTCTCATCACGAATCGGAAGAATGCACATGCAACTGCTCGAGCGGAAAAAGCAGGTCAGGTCTTCCTCATGTGAACTTTTTAAGCCTTCAGCTCACCTCAGAATAGGCATCCCTTGGGAGTACTTTAATCTAATCAGTCACGGGTTCTTGCATAGGGGAGAGTCAGATGAGCAGAAGGTGGCTAAGGGGCGTCAAAATTACGATTCTGTGCTGGCTACAAGAATACTCTCAGATGGCCAAGAAAAGCCTGATTTGATTGTTCTTGCCGGTTGGATGCACGTCTTCTCAACCTCGTTCCTGGAGCCTCTCGAGAAGGCAGGGGTGAAAATTATCAATCTTCATCCGGCTCTACCAGGTAAGTTAAGAAACAGACTAGCGGGGCTCCATACTTATACGTCGATGTAGGAGAGTTTGATGGTGCCAGGGCGATCGAGCGAGCTTTCGAAGAGCTCAAGGCTGGCCGCATCAAACGCACAGGCATAATGGCCCACTACGTCATTGACGAAGTGGATAGGGGCGAGCCTATAATTACTCAAGAAATTGAATGGAATGGTGAAGAATTGGAGGACCTGGAGAAAAAGATTCACTCCTATGAGCACGGGTTGATCGTGAGGGCGACAGCAATAGTGGCGAAGGCGATCGTAGATAAGAGGGACATATAAACCAAGACACTACACTAGCATCCCCTAAGTAGAATAATTTGACGTTTAATAGATTTAACTTCTTGAATATATAAATATTATCTCTATTTATAGGTCTATTAAGTATAGTATACTATTAGTAATATATATTTAGTTTATAGTATATATCTAGTATCTAGTAGCTTATACTCTATATATCTTATAAAATTTAAGTTTAAGTACTATTTAACTCTATCCTTTTAAAAGTTTAAGAAATATTAAGTATAATAGTATATACTATATACTCTATATATTATAATAGAATCTATATTAAAGTATTTAGTATACTAGCTCTTCTATATTACAGTTATAGAGCTAGTCCGCCCTAGGTATAATAGTAGATATAATATATAAATAGTTAATATATAGCTCCTAGCTTAGAAGGGATTAATTATCTTTATTTTTCCTAATATACTCTTAAGTAAAGTCCTACTTATAGTAATAATTAGACTAATAATTATTAGTAGTAGTCTAGAGAAAGGTAGTTATATTAGGAAGGTATTCTATAGGGCTAGAGGGTGCCTAGAACTAAGCTATAGGAGGCAATAGAGCACGGGCTACCTAGCACTAGGTAAGTTCTATTAATACCCCCCTATAAGTACTATACGAGGCGTGCTAGCTATTAGGTCTATAAGAGTCCCCTATAGGCACCTTATAATAGGCCTCTTTCCTATTCCTAGTACTCTAAAAATATAATCTCCTAGCTAATTAGAAGCCTAGAGCTAAGGTAATAAGAATAATTAACTTAATTTATATTAATTAAGTATAATTAATAAATAAATCCTATATACTTTTTAAGGCTAAGGCCCTTTATAAGCCTATTAATAAATATTTTAATAGAAGGTATATAGTGAAGCTTAAAATTATTTATAATAATATATAAGAGTTATAAGGGTTAGAGTCTTATAATTACTCTAATAGCTTAAATAAAAGCTAAACTATAACGATATATATATTATAAAATAGAAAAGAATCGTAGCTATAGAATAGTATAATTTTTATAATATTCTATAGAGCTATTCTATAATAATAAGTATTTAAGTTCTCTTATACCCTATTAGCTAGAGCTTAAAATCCGACTCTATTTCCCTATAAGTCTAGAGGTAATCTAAGCGCTTTATCTATATATAGCTATTAAGGGTTAATCTATTATATATAAAGGGCACCCCTTAGACTTATTTTTTAGGTTTTTAGATCTTAATAATTTTCTAATTTTAATAATACTTATAAGTCCCCCTTATATAGTAATTCCTATCTAATTTATATATTCTTAATTATTAAGAATAGATACTTTCTAAGATACGCCTTACTCCTATTAGGATTAATTTAAGTACTTCTCTTAATTAATTATAACCTTCTTCTTAATTACCTCTCTATTTATTTACCTTCGATTTAAATAAAAAATATACTATTTTATAGCTCTTATTAAAGGCTATAAGAATCTTCGATCTATTTCTCAACCTAATATCTCCTTCTAGAGATATAATTACTTTTATCTTTCTTTTCCTTTTATTTATTATTATCTCTTTATTCTATAATTAAGCTATACCTTTAATCGTTATTTAATATTTCCTATATTAATTATAATATATATTAATAGGTTATAAGCTTAGATTTCTAATCTATTTCGAAATCGAATTATAAATAATCGAGATAATAATTCTTTAATTATTTAATAACTTTAACCTCTTCTTAATTACTATATATTAAGTTATTTTAATTATTATTAATTTATCCTTAATCTTTAGAAGGTTCTCTATCTTCTAATATACTTTTTATATCGATAGCTCCTCTCTTTATCGAATAATCGTAATTATTAATTTAATTTTTAATTATATTATACTTATATTTTAATAGCCTCTTATACTATTATCTCTTTATTAATAAGGTTCCCCTTTAAATATAAGAATTATTAAAAGATCTATTTTCTATTAATATACTTTTTATTTTAATATTTCTTCTTATTCTTAAATAATCCTTATTAACGTATTATATTTTATTATATTATAATACCGAAT